TTGTCAATCCAGTGCTGTTGAAGGTCTTCTTTTTTTTCGCTGACCATCTACTTTACCAAGCATGATGTCCTTCTCCAAGAACTGGTCCCTCCTGATAACATGTTCAAAATATATGAGATGAAGTCTCACCATCTTTACTTCTAAGGAGCATTCTAGCTGTCTTCTTCTTTTTTAATTTTTACTGTAATTTGGGTGAAAGTTATGAGCAAATTCCTTTTCCACACAGCAGCTCATACACATTTTGTCTCATGATATTGACTGCAATTCCCTACAACATAACAGCTCTCTTCCTACTTCCTCCCTGTTCCCTATTTCCTTCCCTCCCATGCACCGCCCCCACCCCCCCCGCGGTCTCCCTGTGCAAACACCACCCTTCTGCTCTCCCATGATTGATTGTTCCAAGGAGTGTCGATGTAAATGTTTAGCCCATATGCCTGTCTATTATTTGGCTGGAAGCCACGGGGGTGAGTTCAACTCTGACCTAAATGGTAGCCAGGAGCCATAGTCTCAGGGTTCTCACCTGGCTCTATCAGACCTGCAAACCTGGTCATTTTATTTGATTTTGAGTTTTGTTCCACATTGGTCTCCCACACTATCCAGGATCTGCTGCACTGATCCTCCTCCAAGCAGTTGACAGTGGTAGCTGGGCACCATCTAGTTCTTCTGGTCTTTTGGTCATATGGGCTGAGGATTGCATGGTCTACCAGTCCCTTGGACTAACTGTCTCGATGCGTCTTTGGTTTTCTTCATTCTTCTTTGCTCTGTATGAGGAGAGACCCATCATTGCATCTAGATGGCTGCTTGCAAGCTTTTAAGACCCCAGTCACTACTCACCAAAGTAGTATGTAGAACAATGTTTTTTGGTAGTACATTATACCAATTGAGCTTGATGTCCCCTGTGACCACTGTCCTAAGCCCACCGGGCAAACTACTTGCTTCCTCCAGGTAGCTGGCTGTGGCTAAGAGGTCACAACAACCTTGTCCCTTGTGTGGCTGTCTTCTTCCAAGACAGATTTGTTTGTTCTTTTGGCAGTACATGCTAGTACCAATATTCTTTGCCAATACCATAATTCAAAGGCATCAATTCTTCTTTGGTCTTCCTTATGCATTATCCAGCTTTCACATGCCTGGGAGGCAATCAAAAATACTGGTTTAAGTCAGGAACACCTTAGTCCTCAAAGTGACATCTTTGCTTTTTAACACTTTAAAGAAGTCTTTTGCAGTATATTTGTCAATGCAGTATGCCATTTGATTTTTTGACTCCTGTGTCCATGGGCATTGATTGTAGATCCAAGTAAAATGAAATCCTTGGCAACTTTAATCTTTTCTTTATCATGATGTTTCTTATTAGTCCAGTTGTGAGGATTTTTGGTTTCTTTAGGCTGAGATGTAATCCATACTGTAGTCTTTGATCTTCATCAGTAAGTGTTTCAAGTCCTCTTCACTTTCAGTAAGGAAAGATGTGTCATCTGCATATTGTAGGTTGTTAATGAGTCTTCCTTCAATTCTGATGCCATATTCTTCTTCATATAGTCCAGCTTCTCAGATTATTTGCTTAGCATACAGTTTGAATAAGTATGGTAAAAGGATACAACCCTGAACATACCTTTCCTGGTTTTAAACCATGTACTATTCCCTTGCTCTGTTCAAAGGATGGCCTCTTAGCCTATGTACAGGTTCTACATGAGCACAATTAAGTGTTCTGGTATGTCCATTCTTTTTAGTATTACCCTTAATTTGTTATGATCCAAGCAGCTAAGTGCCTCAATCAAACACAAGTACATTATCTTTCTGGTATTCTCCAAGATCTATCTGATGTTGGCAATGATACCCCTTGTTCCATGTCCTCCTCTAAATCTGGCTTGAATTTCTGGCAGATACCTGTCTGCCAGAACTGTCTGCAACTGTTTTTGAATTATTTTCAGCAAAATTTTACCTGTGTGTGACATTAATTACCCTGCTCCATAATATCTGCATCCTGTTGTACCACCTTTCTTTGGAATGAACACACATATGGATCTATTCGAGGCAGCTGCCTGGAGCCTTATTTATTTTGCCAATTCCTTCAGTGCAGCTTGAATTTCTTCAATACCCTTGGTTCTTGATCATATGCTACCTCATGAAATAGCTGAACACTGACCAATTCTTTTTGGTACAGAGCCTTTGTGTATTCCTTCCATCTTTAGATGCTTCCTGCATCGTTCAATATTTTGCTCATAGAATCCTATGATATGGCAACTTGAGGCTTGAAGATTTTCTTTCAGCCTGAGAAATACCAAGTATGTTCTTTTGGTTTTCTAATACCAGATCTTTACACATTTTATTTTAATATTTTACTTTTCCTTCTTTTGCTTCCCTTTGAAAAATCTTCTGTTCAGTAATTTTACTTCATCATTCCTTCCATTTCTTTTAGTTTCTCTGTGTTGCAGAGCACACACATACACACACAGGTGTGTGTATATGGATATATATATATATATATCCATGCACACACACATACATGCATATATGTTGATCCCTGGATGATGCAAATTGTTAAGCAATAGAACTGCCCACAAGTTCCAAGGTTGTAAATCTTTAGGAAAGCTGTTTGGTAGAGCTTTCTTCTGCAGAGCAACTGGTGAGTTTCAACCACTGACCTTCAGGTTAGCAGTTGAGCATTTTAACCACTGTGCTTGTAGGGCTCCTAGTATATGTTGGTTAGGTATACTTATGTACCTATTTTTGCTATGTGAGCAAGCTTTTTCCTTGAGCTAGGTTATAGCCTTTGTTGAGAGGCATGTGAATTGGTTTTCCCACTGTGCTTTTATTCTTTCACTCCTTCTAAAGGAGATGTATGTTCCGAGTGCCCTCTTATAACATGTTCTTGCATTGAAATGTTATAAAATTATCCTTATTTTGTGCAAAAGTAATTCTTCAATGAACTGAAGAGTTATTAACAATGCAGGCTAATTAGCATGGTCTTCAAACTTAGAAAATAGCGAATACTGTTGATATAGGTATTACCAAAGCTTTAGGAATTGTTACATCTCACTAGAGAAATGATATTTATTTATAGCATATAACTAGAGAATTCACAGGATACAACTACACATACTCTTCAATTCCATCATATTATTCATAATAGAGACTAATGATTTTTTAAATCAAGTTTCTGCGCACAAACAGAAATTCTGGGATCAATATGCCTTTTTTTTTTTTTTTTTTACATTTTTATTGTGATTTGGGTGAAAGTTTACAGAGCCAAACTCATCTTCCACACAGCAGTTCAGATCACATTGTCTCATGACATTGCCTGTAATTTCCCACAATGCAACAGCTGTCCTCCCACTTTCTCCCCATAGCCACCTCTTCCCTGTGCCCTTCCCTCTCATGCACTCCTGCCCCCCGAGCTGTCTCCCTGTGCATACACAGCCCTTCTATTCTCCTATGAGTGATCTCTCCAAAGAGTATATCTACCTAATGTAAATGTTTAGCTCATATGCCTGTCCTTTGTTTTGCTGGAAGCGCAGGAGTGGGTTTAATTCCACACCTGAAGGGCAGCTAGGGGCCATAGTCTCAGGGGTTCTATCAGGCTTTTCCAGACCAGTAAATCTGGTCCCTTTTTTTTTTTTTTTTTTTTATGATTTTGAGTTTGGATCAATACACTCTCATAATGAGGGATAAATAAATTCAAAATACAGGAAAGATCTTCATAAATGTTTGCATTGCCATCCCCTCTTTACCTAGTATCTAGAAGGATAAGGCATAAAAGAACAAGTATATAAGTACTTTTAATATATACATATATAGAGTGAGCCCTGGTGGTGCAGTGGTTAAGTGCTCAGTTGGTAACTGAAAGGTCAATGTATAAACCCACCAGCTATTCTGTGGGAGAAAGATGAGGCAATCTACTTCATAACGATTTACAGCCCTGGAAACCCTGTAGGGCAGTTCTACTGTCTTACAGGGTTGCTATGAGTTGGAACTGAATCGATGGCAATGGATATAAATATACATATATACGTATATGCTTTCTCTAAACTCCTAAATCTACTACTAAGCATTTGTACTTTATAACATCTTTGCTAGTCACCAGATATATTAGTCACTTGTCACCTGGGTCTACAACAAAGAAGAAAAGTGAGCATTTAGTGTTGACAGAGGAATTTTACTGTAAAGCTGAGCTAAGTAAGAGGGCTGAAAGACTATTCATAGGGACTGAGAACTCAGGATGCTAAATCATATTGCCCAAAGTGGCAATAATTTCATTAAGAGCACTGAACTAAACATTACTTCTTGGTATACTTACGGTAGCCACATTTTTTACAGCCTGCTCTGACATTGTCCTTGTTGCAACCTGAAATACAATTGGATAACATTTTAGAAGATATATAAGTTAAAAAAAAAAAAATCACATGAAAAAGCCATAAAAACCATTTAGTGTAGAATTTATTTCTTAAAAAAATACAAAAATCAACCTTGACTCAACTTGGTACTACTATTCAATTATTATGATTATTAGAAATCAATGAAAAGACTAATTCACTCAAATTATTTCCACTGACAAATATTTCAAGAACATATTTTTTTCTAGGGAGCTCTGGTAGCATAGTGGCTAAGACACTTGCCTGCTAACCAGACGGTTAAACATCTACAATCTGCCCATTACTGAATATGCTAAGATGAATCTCAGAGGTATGTGGCATTGGCACATCTAGATTTCCTTGTTACTGATTAAGGCAATATAGCATAGTGGCTAAGACACTTGCCTGCTAACCAGATGGCTGGCGGTTCAAACCCACCAGCCACTTCTCGGAAGGAAGGTTGGGCAATCCTACTTCCGTAGTGATATTGCCTCGGAAACCCAAGGAGGGGTCGCTATGAGTTGGGGCCGACTCGACGGCACATAACAACAACAAATTTTTTTCTAATTCAACAGAAATGCTGTTTTGAGAACTCCAGATCTAAACATCCCAGAATTTTATAATGTTGAGAAAAATTCTAGGGTACTATGGCCTCTCTCTCAAATATAAAATAATTACTTTACTAGATATATATATGAACATTCGGGTTAGCAAATGTCTTTTCTGCCTTCTATTAGAAAAAAAATCTGACTTAGTGAAATTCTGGAAAAATCATTTTGCTAGATATTAAAAAGAACATGTAAATTTAGCACTGAAATTTTGCCTAGAGACACGCAGGTAATGTTGAAGATATAAGTATCAGAGGTAAGGTGTTCAGTTAAAACTTTTCACCTGCAATAAAGTCTTCAATTTACCAATCAGAGTCACAGGACAGTATTATTCTATTTTCTTAATGAAAGATATCGAACTCTTAAATCCTTCAAATGGGTATATCTTCCCAACTTAACTATAAATTGGAGGTACATAGAGTACAAACATAACCTGTGTTTATTTATTTATTTTGTTATTATTTTTTAAAATTTTTATTGTGATTTGTGTGAAAATTTACAGAGCAAATTCATTTTCCATACAGCAGCTCACACACACTGTCTCATGACATTGACCGCAACTTTCGACAGCGTAATAGCTCTCCTCCCACTTCCTCCCCATAGTTACTTCTTCCCTGTGTCCTTCCCTACATGCACTCCTGGTCCCTGAGCTGTTTCCCTGTGCATACACAGCCTTTCTATTCTTCCATGATTGATCTCTCCAAGGAGTGTATCTACCTAATGTAAAATTCAGCTCATATGCCTGTCTTTTGTTTGGCTGGAAGCCAACTTGTATTTATTTAAAAAGAAAAGTAATTTTAAAATCATTTCTTTAATGTTATAAAGTCAAAGCATCTATTACACATTTTTCTTCTTATGCTAATTTTGCTGTAAAAATACACACTATTGAGTTGTGCTAGTAAAAATAGTTAATTCTGTTAATAATATTTGTTATGAAAATGCAAATTTGTTCCACATAACTGATATATATGAGAACAATTTGGAGCATGACATGAATTTCATTCATGAAAAACACAGATGAATGCAGAAAACAGCACCCAGCTGAGCTGAGACTTACAGGAACATACAAAAAAAAAAAAAAAAGGAAAAAGAAAGAAAGAAAATCCCAAGCCAAATCAAAAACATCTCCAGCTCCAGCTACCTCAGGTTTATTGTGTGTTATAAGCAGCAGCCATCCACATGTGGTATTACAACTCTCTGACAAAAGGCAGGTGATTCCAGGTTCCTTTCTAGTACCTCTTCCCAGTAACTCATAAACTGTAACTCTTTGATACACACTTTCCATAAGCAAACTTCAGGACTTTTTCAAAGTAAAATGCCATATTTAGCTTAATCTTGATATTTTTTCTTTTAACCTTTTACTATATATAAAACTGTGCTATCACTTTTATTCATTTTTGTAAATGTCACTCGTGAAGTTTTCAAGTACTATGCCCCTAATCTATTTTTTCCTTCCAATAACGTTAAGTTTTTTAGTACAGGGACACATAGGTCACATTGTAGCAGAATTGACTATGGAATAAAACTGGATTAATAATAAAAGCTGAGGCTCTTTCATTATGAAAAGTACTGCATGAAAAAAAAAAAAAATAACCCAGAGAATCTGGGTTAATGTTAAGTCCGTTTCCATAGAAACTGTAGACGCTGAACGATACCGAACAAAGCTGAGCTAAATGCACAATTACTGATCCTACAACAGACTAAAAAGGCCATAATGGACCGATTCAGAATAATCTCATTTCAGCCTGTATTAGAACTGGACTCATTTATCACAATAGGCATTAATAAAACTCATCACTTAACTATCTTCTTTTTTAGATGGAATAAAATATGAAACGTTTCTGGGTAGGTCATCTTCTTTAACAAAGTTGTAACTTTTACATTAAAGAGATATATAACAAAAACATTAAATAAAGTAACTCCATATCAACTATTTCCTCCTCAGCCTCTGGTTAAATTAAAATTTCAGCTTCATCCATCTATCATTTTTATGAGATCATGGCCAGCTGAATGCTTCTATCTGGGACTCTGAATCTCAGGCAACTGGCACAATAAATCTGAGGCATGTGACACAATAAAGTGGGGATAGTAAGTTTACAGGATCCTGTTCCTAGTGGTAGTGATGCCAGTGGCAGCAGCAACCCTAACCATGCCCAGGTCTGTGGCAAGACATTGGCTATGGATTCCCTTAGTCTTGCCTATTTTCTGTGCCTGCTTTTTCCAGTCTTTGTTTAGCTTTTCTTAGCTCCCTGTTCTTTCCCTGCTGTTTGAAACAAAAACCTTGACCAATACAGCAGTACTCAAAATTCTTGTCAAAATGAATTGTTGTTGCTGTTATGTGCTATGGTTTTGAATAGCAAGGCTATAGTGTGATACCCTTACTCAGATGAGAAGTGATCATTTCCACATTTTGTTTGCTGTCGCTGTTCAGACTAACACAGTACCACCCTCTCCCTTGAAATTTTGCTTTCTAAACATGAACTGCAATTCAAAAGCCGTTAGATTACAGACCTACACATTTTACTACATTCAAAAAAAAAATCTGAATACAAAGATCACAAAACACAAATTCAAAGACAGGTGTAGACTTGGAGAAAAATATTTGCAACTCATAGCACTAACAAAGGGCAATTATTCCTACTATATAAAACCCAGTAAATCATTAAACAAACAAACAAACACAATACTACTAACCAACAAGAAAGAAAATAGCCCATGAATTTGCACAGAGTTTGCAGAAGATAAAACAAAATGACTCTGAAACATACCGAGAAATACTCAGCCTTATTCCTAATCAGTGAAATAGACATCAAAAACTATTGGTGTATGTTTTGCTGTGTACATGCTCAACATCAACAGAAGAAAAAAAACAAATAAAACTTTAATGTACAAACTAGGAAAGACTGGTTTAACCACAACAATTATTCCAAACTGCCACAAATTTAAACTACATCTACTTTGCTCACCTCAAATCCCACAGATTTCCTAACTTCATTTCTGTCTGTCTTTGAAGTAAGAAAAAAGAAACATAATATAACCCATTCCCTTATGTTGTTGTTGTTGTTATGTGCCGTTGAGTCGGAACCGACTCATAGCGATCCCCCTTGGGTTTCCGAGGCAGTATCATTACGGAAGTAGATTGCCCATCGTCCTTCCGAGGAAGTAGATTGCCTCATCTTCCTTCATAGGAGTGGCTGGTGGGTTTGAACCACCAGCCTTCTGGTTAGCAGTCAAATGCCTTAGGTACTATGCTACCAGAGCTCCTTTATTCCCTTATAAATTCTTAAAAAAAAAAAAAAAAAAAAAAGGAATGAAAATAATTTCAATATTCAGATAGGAGACTGGCTAAATATATAATGGCGTAACATATAAGGATGGTCTTTACTTAATGAAATGTTTGTTGCCAGTGTTTATACACATAAATAAAATATATCTGAAAGGATACCCAGTGGTTCCCTGAGAAGGGAGAACTGGCACTGGGGGAAGAAAGAAATGAATGGGAGATATGTCACTAGACATTTTTGTTGTTGTTGCTGTTAACCTTAAGATTTGAAACCCGTGAATTGATTACCTTTCAAAAACCAAACTTTCCTCAAACAAGCAATAAAACTCCAATACTTTGCTGTCATGTAACATTCTCTGACTTGGACAAAAGGCAGTAGTTGTACTTAAAAATTCTTCAGAGAGGCTATCCTGCAGATTTTCAATAAAATTTTATTAACTGATGTTTTCAAGAACATATTTAAGACGTCTTCCTTTCCTGCATTTGTTAAATATTAAGAGCTTACTCCCTTATTGCTTGGGTGGTAAGAGAGGGCACTGGTAAAAATGACCCTATCCTTTACCTTCCAGTAACCAGAGAATGTCAGTTTCTCTACATTTGGGATCATGCCAGACAATTTTGTATATAACTCATTGGCTACTATGGTGTGGAGGTTCTGGGAGATGCTCAATAAATATTTGGTGTTTTAAGGTTATAAGCTTGAGAAAATACTTCAGCAGCGGGGAATTAGCAACCTCTGTAGCTCCCAGTTGTCAGCTATGAAACTAGACAATGTCTGTGGTGTCACTGGCCCATCTGAAGCATGATAATAACTAGAAGAAAAGGAATAGAAGTAAGAAAAGGATAATAGAAATCAGAATAAAAAATGCTAGGCAGGGAGGGAGCAGTGATAGAGGCAGAAGATAACTTTCTGGAGTGACGGAAATAATAAAAATCTTGATGTTGGTGATAGTTTGACATTGACTCAAATTTCTTTGAGCTGTATATTTGTGTTTTGTGCATTTTACTGTATGTAAATTATAATTTAATAAAGTAGTTAAAAAAAGATAAAAAGAGTAGGGCAAAAAAGTAAAGGGAAAGGTTAGAGAAGACCAAAAGAAGGGACAAAGATAACAGGAATGAGGAAACGTGAGAGAAAGGGATGGAGTATCCCCCAAAGTTGCCTCAGGGTTTTCAGTGGGCTCCGAACATTTGGTAAGCCATTATCTTTCACCTGAATTTATTTTCTTAGAATTTTACATCACCCATTTCCACAGTCAATAATTTAGTCAGTAAAAAATTTAACAGTGACACTTGTAACTTAATATTTCCCTCTTACTATCTATTTTGAATTGAGGGAGCCTATCAAATTTTTCTCATTATTATCGTCTATTGGAGCTCTGGTGGCATAGTACCTAAGGCATCTGACTGCTAACCAGAAGGCTGGGGGTTCAAATCCACCAGCCACTCCTCAGAAGGAAGGTTGGGCAATCTATTTTCCTGGTGACACTGTCTTGGAAACCCAAGGAGGGGTTGCTGTGAGTCAGATCTGACTCGAGGGCAATGGGTTTACAATCATTTAAATTTAAAAGTAAATGGCTTTAGTAATGAAGTTTTCTTTGAATTAAATAATTAGAAATTGCAATCTCTTCTGCTCTATCCATTCTTTTCATTTTGAATTTGATAGATTCAATGAAATTAGATTCCTTTTTGTTTTGTAACACTTAAAGTTTATACTTGGTTACTGTTATGGTTTTATTTGTCATAATTTGAGGACCTTTAAAGACAATATCAATTTCTTCTGCTTTTGAAATTCAAACTCGCCACATTTTGTACCATACAGGTATTGATATCTATATAAAATGTATGTGCTCTGCTAAAGTTGAATGAAAAGTAAAACTCCAACTATTTAAACTTTTCTACCGATTTATATGAAGAATTTATGGATATTCTCCTTTCTTTGGGATCCCCAAATATTGTACTTAAGTCAAAGTCGACAGACTAGCAGAAGTTAAAAAAATAGGCTACATGAGTTCTTTGATTTAAATATATCTAAAGAGCCAATATCCTCATGTTAAAAATGCCTCTATCATCATATGTCCACAAAAGGAAGCATAAAAGTAACTAACAAAAGAATTATTTATTTTAAATGACTGATAAGAAATAATTAAAATTTCAGTAAAGGTATGAAACTCTTTCATCTACTTCACTTACAAAATACAAATAATCTGTGATGAAAACAAGCTATAGGTATTATTATCAGTTTAAGATAAGAAGAGACATAAAGAACATTTTTTACCTAATGAAATGGAATCAAGATTATTGTTTAGCTTGGTCTGCTTAATTCAGGACTAGATTCTATCAGTAGTAATTCTAGTGACCAACCCCTTAAATACTTACTATTTTATCTAATAAGGGCATAATGCCAAGCTAGATGTTTGGGAAGTCAAAATATAAAGTAAGGTCCCTACAATAAAAGAAAGTACAATATACAATGTTTTCTATAATAATGCACTCATAGTTGTAACACAGAATGTGAAAATAATCAAATATCATTAATATCACATGCAAGTAAAATCTTGCTGAAGACAATCCAAAAATGGTATAGCAGTATATTTACAGGGAACTTCCAAAAATGCAAGCTGGATTCAGAAGAGGATATAGAACAAGGAATATCATTGCTGATGTCTGATGGATCTTGGGTGAAAGCAAAGAATACCACATGTTTACTTGTGTTTTATTGACTATGCAAAAGCATTTGACTCTATGGATTATAAACAAATTATGGATAACATTGTGAAGAATGTGAATTCCAGAACAGAACATTTAATTGTGTTCATGAAGAACCTGCACATAGACCAGGAGGCTGTCATTAGAATAGAACAAGGGGATATAGCATGGTTTTAAATCAGAAAGGGTGTGTATCAGGGTTTTATCTTTCACCATACTTATTCAATCTATATGCTGAGCAAATAATCCAAGAAGGTGGACTATCTGAAGAAGAATGTGGCACTAGGATTAGAGGAAGACTCATTAACAGACTGTGATATGCAGATGACACAAGCTTGCTTGCTGAAAGTGAAGATGACTTAAACACTTACTGATAAAGATTAAAGACTATAGTCTGCAGTATGTATTACATCCCACCATAAAGAAAACTAAAATCCTCACAACTAGACCAATAAGCAACATCACTATACATGGAGAAGAGATTAAAGTTGTTAAAGATTTCATTTTACTGGGATCCACAATCAACATCCAAAGAAGCAGCAGTCAAGAAATCAGACAGCATATCACATTGGGCAAATCTGCTGCAAAAGCCCTCTTTAGGGTGTTGAAGAGCAAAGATGTCACTTTGAAGACTAAGGTTCACTTGACCCAAGCCAAGGTATTTTCCATTGCCTCATATGCATGTAAAAAGGTGGACAATGAATAAGGAAGACTCAAGAAGAGTTGATGCTTTTGAATTGTGGTATTGACGAAGATTACTGAAAATATCATGAACTGCTAAAAGGACTAACAAATCTGTCTGGAAGAAGTGTAGCCAGAATGCTTGTTGGAAGTGAGAATGGCCAGACTTTGTCTCACCTACCTTGCCATGTTGTCAGAAGAGACCATTCTCTGGAGAAGCATATTATGCTTGGTAAAGTGGAGGGTCAGAGAAAAAGGGGAAGACATTCAGTAAGATGGATTGACACAGTAGCTGCAACAATGGGCTCAAGAATAGCAAGGATTGTGAGAATGGTGCATGGCCAGGCACTGTTTTGTTCTGTTGTGCATAGGGTAGCTATGAGTTGGAGCCAACTCAACAGCACCCAACAACAGTTGTAATACATGCAAGAATGTGCCAGGTGTCATAAAAGACACATAACTGTATTAAGAAGCAGGAAGTGGCAGGCAAAACTCAGCTGAGAGATGAAGGAAAGCTTCACACAGGTATATATGGGCAATAGAAGGAGAGTGATTACAAAGGCACATAGGTAGGAAAGCACACGAGAAGTTCAAGGATAGCTGGTCAAGCCAGATTTTTGCAAGACTGTGGAAGGCATGATGGGGTGGTGGGAGTGATGGGCTGAAAAAGTGATGTGGCCATGACCAGGAGCATGCACTTCATTCTTGCAGAGATGAGGAGTCTTGGTACTAAAACACTTCACAAGCAAAACAAAGTTTAGCCATCAACTCCTCATTTCAGATATAAGATAACTGAGCCTCAGGAAGTTTAAGCAGCTTGAAGAGAATTGCAAAGCTTACTGACATGGGTTAAGAACCGAAAGGATCAAATATCTGATTTAGGAACACATAGTAGCAATGTGCAGCATTAACTAGAGAGAAAAGAAACTACCTGTAATTTAGGAGTGAAAAAGAATTGGGTGTAGTGCAAGTTAGGTGTCTTACATCACTAAGATGCTGTGGTAATATGTTTTAAGAATCTGATTCACTTCCATATGCTAGACTAAAATGATAATTTGGTTACAGAAAATTCACTACCTTGGCTATGTAAATTTCACTGAAGGAGTGAAAAAATAAGAGTTTTTGTGCCAAGCACATCAGCAACATATTGCCACCTGTACTGGGCCAATCTGCATTGGATAGGCTCTTGGTGGAATATGGAAAATCAATGTCATAGCTAATTCCAACATCTGTGAATAAAAAGGCAGTTTTTTTTTTTTTTTTAATTGTGATTTGGGTGAAGATTTACAGAGCAAATTCACTCTCGATACAGCAGTTCACATACACTTTGTCTCATGTCATTGACCACAGTTTACCACAATGCAACAGCTCCCCTCCCACTTCCTCCCCATAGTTACCACTTCCCAGTGTCCATCCCTCCATACTCTCCTGCCACCTGAGCTGTCTCCCTGTGCATAAGCAGCCCTTCCTTCTCCCATGATTGTTCTCTCGAGGGCGTGTGTCTACTTGAGGTAAATGTTCAACTCACATGCCTGTACTTTGCTTGGCTGGAAACCACAGGTGTGGGTTCAATTCCAGACCTGAAGGGTAGCTAGGGGCCACAGTCTCAGTGGTTCCACCAGGCTCTACTGGACCAGCAAACCTGGTAAAAAGGCAGTTTTTAAGTTCAGTTTACTGATGCTGTTGTTACTGACAGCTGCTGCTGAATTGGCCCCAATTCACGGCAACCCCATGTGTTAAGAGTAGAACTTGCTGCATAAAGTTTTCTCGGCTGTCATCTTTACAGAAGTAGTTCATCAGGCCTGTCTTCTGTGGAGCCTCTGAGTGTTCGAAATAACAACCTTTAGGTTAGCAGGTGATTGCAAATTGCTTGCGTCACTCTGGCTTCTAACTTCACAGATACCTGTGTTCAAATGCCTTTTCTCCAGTAACAACCAAGAACAACTAAGATTTTTCTCCTCTCTAAAAATCAGAACATAAAAAGTCCAGTATTGCTTTAGAACGGGGGCTGCAAATTCAAATACCTGTAAGGGGCTAGCAGATAGCAACAACAGCAGGCTAATTCATTGTGCAGTTTACAAGTACTAATTTACTTAATTCTAACAACACATCTATAAAGCAAATACTGTTATAATCCGTTACTTTTCATATGAGGGGAAATTCAGGCAGGCACAGATAGGTTAAATAACTTGACTAATGTACTGGTTAGGAGCTCTGGTGGGATAGCGCCTAAGGCATTTGACTGCTAACCAGAAGGCTGGAGGGTCAAAGCCACTAGCCACTCCTCAGGAGGAACACTGGGCAATGTACTTCTGTAGTGATACCCTCTCGGAAACCCAAGGAGAGATTGCTATGAGTCGGATCCGACTTGACAGCAGTGAGTTTGTTTTTTTCATTGTTACTGGTTGTAGATGGTAGCTCCAGGCAGCTTGGTTCCAGAGCCCATGATTTTAACCACTGTTACGGATTGAATGGTGTCCCCCCAAAAGTTATGTTGAAGTACTAACTCCTAGACCTATGAATGTAACCCTGTTTGGGAATAGGTGTTTTCTTTTTGTTAATAAGATCATAACAGCATAGGGTGGGTCCTAAGCCTAATCACTTCTAAAAACCAAAACCAAACTCATTGCCATGGAGTCAGA